AAATATTTTAACTCAGTTCATTTTTCATGTTCATCAGTGAAACTTTAACATTAAACCTTTTTAGACTGCCTAAACACATTGTTTTTAATGTAAGTCACATTTTTTGAAATTTTGAGATAAATGTATTAAATATGTTTTGAGTAAAGAAAAAAGAAAAATACTAGAAGAATTGTAGATGCAAAATTAACACCTGTTTTTGTTTTTTTCATGAATCAAACACTACTAGTGATCAGTTAACACACAAATGGGTTGAGAAAAGTCAAAGGAAATACTAGAATTATAACCAACCAACAGAATCTTAGACTATATCTGACCTCCACCAACCAGCTGGAATAGTTGGACCAAATATTGCCACAAAGAAACATGTCTGACCCAGAATAAAAGAAGGAAGAGATGTTGAGGGATGCCTTTATTCAGACAATGTTGTTGCTCTCAGGAGAATTGATTGAAGCTGATCACAACTTTAAGAGCAGACTGTGTTCTGTGCTGACAGAGCATATAAGAAACATAATGCATCACTAAAGCTTGGAGCTCAGGTTCAGCTAGAAATAAAGTTTTTCAAATGTCCTTTTTTGTTCTTTTAAAATGCTAATTTGTGCCGTTTACAACCTTAAAGATGCAAATTCATGTAATTATTTACAGAAATTGTAGGAAGTCACATCAACTTTAATAGAGCAACACTTTCTCTTGTCAAGGGCGGGACGTCTTCTCCTCCTCTCCCTCTCCGCTTTGCTTTTGTTCTGTACTGTCTGTGAAACTGCTTTAGAGCCTCTCTCTCTCTCTACAAATATTCAGAATCATAATTATGGACTTGTTTTGATCAGTTGGTCCCTCAGCACAATTGATAACATTTCTCTGAAGAGAAGACAGGCTTTAGGCGAGCTGATTTGCCCTGTTGGCACACACGCAGCTGGATATCTCATCGACTTGAAGACTTGATGATGTGTCTATCTCTGCTGCCATTGATGGATTTTAAGGACACATATATAATTGGATTTATGATAACTGGTTTCTGCTTTTTGGATTTGGCTGGTTCCTGGTTTATCTACAATCAAGGAAGTCGTCTGCAGCAAATTTGGACACGATCAGGCTGCTTGCCTTATGACAGCTTGGTTCGTGCCTCGAGCACCCAGACTTGAATGCTTTTGGCAAGATGGATCAGATCTTGAGGATTATTCTTAGGCACAGTCCACTGGTGTGGCCATTTAATTTGGATGTTTCGGAACCAAGTGGACTGACACAGACTCAAGGTAGAAGTCATTAAAGTTCTGCCCGTCCCCAAAACAATTGTGTTTATCTGAATTCGTCTCCCTGACTGGCCTTGACAGTAGTGGTGGGCGATATGGCTCAAATATAATATTGTGATATTTCAGAGCATTCTGACGATAACAATAAATTTTGCGATATCTAAAAAACAAACAGAAATCATAGTTATTTGACAAAATTAACTTAACATGTTACTTTGCAGTATTACATAAAATTTTAAAAAACAAGGGGTAATTTTACTGAAATTAATTTATTTAGTAAAGTATTCAGTCTCCAGGTATAAAAATAAAAAAAGATCCTTCTGTTATTTAGATTGAAAAAGTCTGCATAAAATATAGATCAATAAATCTACCACAATAACTAAAGTGCAGGTGAAGTTTCCCAAAATAACTAAATAAAATAAAATGAAAGCTTAAGATCTGTTGAGCATAAATGTAACGAAGAACAAAATATATGTTTCCTTTAAATGAGCTATATCTAACAGAACTTGTAACAAGGTGATCAGCTGACCCTGAAGCTTGTGGTGTTTCTTCTTCCTCTGTTCCTGCAGGAATGATTCATTTCTCTGAATGATTCATTTCTCTGGTGCTCGTCTTTCATCACCTGACTCTGTTCTTGGTCCATGGACTGTAGAACTCAAAAGACAGTTTAGCTGTTCGTGTTTGTACCGTCAGTTTAGAGCAGGGGAGACGTAGCCCGCACCGGCAGCTCAGAGCGGGGTGCGGAGAGAGAGAAAAAGACGAGTGGCAGCTTAGAGTGTGGGGAGCGAGAAACAGTTGAGTTGTCTGTACTTGCAGTTAGAGCTGGATGGAGAGAGAGCTGAACCGCGTGTTGTTTGTTTTTAGCATTTTAGCTAGCTAGTATTGCACGCAGCTAATTAGCATCACACCAGTACCGACAGGTGGAGGGGAGTGCGCAATTCAGTGTGGTCGTTTGGCGCGCTCGGTTCTGTTAACGGGGTGGGGCGCCCTGACATATTACATCATGAAATTAGCATATCATGATATCATTTTTTTGCCCGGTCAAGATTTTTTTTTACTGGTATCATCGTGAATGATATGATATGGCCCAGCCCTACTTGACAGGCCATCTTATCTCAACTCGCCTGGAAGTTTTGTAAACCTGAAGCTCTGCCCCTCCCTCCCCTCCTTCCGAGGAATTTCCATGGACTTTTCAGAGGTACCCAGCTGAATAAACATTCTGTCATCATTTCAGGACTCTTTGGATTCGTCCTTGGCCGTCCTCAGCACCCCCCACGTGTGTACGGATCTCTCCAGAGGAAACTATTTGAACTGAGTGATTTTATCTGAACTCTGCAGTGCCTCTATGTGTTGTCTGACTGCTCACCATCCTTGCATCCCTCCCTCCCCGTGCGTAATGTCGGCATCATTATGTGCTAGTGTGCAAGATTTTTTTTCATTATCACGCTGTTGACCTTCAACCAAAGATTAACAGCGTGTGAGGATTTTTTTTTGTCTCCAAACCCTGTCTCATTTTTGCACCACTTTTTTTTGTCTGTCCAAACAGGTCTCACTTGTAAATGAGTCTTCAAGGCTCAGTGTGACTTATCTGTTTAAATAAAGGCTGAAAAAACAATCAATTTTTTTATGCTATAGTCAGGGATTTCGAAAATTTTGCATTTTACGTAAATCAGTAACATAAATGTTGTGGTCCATATGTCTAGTGGCTGCTTAAAGACCTCAACCTCTGAAGTCTGGACGGTTGCACCAGTTTAAAAATATTTTAATAGAAACTTTCATCACAGACTGAAAATGGAGTTGGGGGCCCTGGCCATATTAAACAAAAGAGTGAGATGTCTTCAACCAGTCAAACAGTTAACCTTCTGTGATTATCGTACCCACCACTGCACCCTGTATTCACTGGTTAACTGGACATCATTAACTTCACGCAGACACTCCCACTGGTACATTTTCATCTTTAAATCACTTCTTGGTCTGCTGCCTTCACACATCTCCTCCTACATGTCTCTGCGTGAGTGCAGCTACAGCGTGCGCTCTCAGGACATTATTACCTGCAGTGTTCCCTCAGTGCGAACTAAACTAGGTAAAAGAGTCTTCTCCTACTCTGCTCCTGTTTCCTGAAATATCTTACAAAAAGATCTAAAGCTCTCGACCTTGACCTCTCTAAGTGGCTTTAAGAATCTGTTGGACTCCTGGCAGGGACCAATGCTGACATGTTCCTGTTTTTAGTTTTCTACATTCTCCTTATAATCTAGCTGTTTTTTGTTACTTTTCTTTTTACTTTTCTTTTTTTTTAGCCATCCTATTTGTTAAAAAAAAATAATTGTATGACTTTTTATAACTGTTTATTGTTGTCGCTGTTGTCCATTGTTGTCATCATTCTTTGTTAAATCAGGTCTCTCTTGTAAATGAGTCCTCGAGGCTCAATGGGATTTACCTGAATGAATAACCTTCTGATCCAAACTGCTCTCCTAAATCTGTAAACCTCAAATTCAACTTAAGAAACAATGAAAACAGGATTGCCAGTAACTCCCAAACACAACAACACAACTAACAATTAAAGACAACTAACAAATGTGACACGACTCAAGGCTGGTGTCCATATGTCAAAAGAGAGAGGAAGCAGGGGCGAGTGTGAACGTGTAGCACAGAAACCAGAATGAGCAACCAGCAAACATCAAGCCAACTCTATCAGCCTCTCCTCTTGTCTCCACTCATCTAGCAGAGCTTGTTTCTTTTAAAGGCTTGTCAGACAATCAGGTCTGAAAAAAGAAGGCATGTTACTTAAGGCCTGTAATTAGTTTTTTTTTTATATATATTTCCATTTGCTTGTTATGATGAGATAAAGCAAAGTCAGGAAGAAGGCCACCTGCATCATGAAGGACCCCGCTCACCCAGCACACACACTTTTTGCCCCGCTCCCCTCAGGCAGGAGGTTAACGAACATTAAGTGTAGAACCATTAGAATGAGGAACAGCTTCTACCCTGAGGCTGTTAGACTCATGAATCTCTAACCAGAATAATCACTGTGAAAAATCACATCATGTTGCTGCTGATCTGTTTCAATGTTGCTGCTGATCTGTTTCATGTTGCTGTGTTCATTCGTACTCATCTGTTCACACAGACTCATGTTGGTGCTGCTGTTCAGCGTATTGTACTACTAGTGCCAAGTGTATTTTTAGTTAACGTTTTTCTTAGTTCATATCTTAGATCTTATTACCGTTTTTTTTTTTTTTTTACATTTTATACTTTTGTTGGATGTAACTGGGGCCCTGTGTACACAATTTAGTTCCACCTCATGTACCACATATGATAAGAATGTCAATAAAGAACCTTGAATCCTTGAATAAAATTATAAAATTAACCTGTTGCATTTTTACAGCTCAGATCACACTGAGCGCTGGTGCTTGAGACATCACTGTATGTATCAGACTAAACAGCCACAAAATGGTTACATTTGTTTACTGCAACATGTTCTCCACTTGAAAACAAGCAACAAAGATGGCAGGTTCTGATTGTGAATTTGACTCCCTTTATGCATTGTTAATTACTTTAGGTGCAGATGTGTTGCGCTGCCCCAGGATCTTCTGGTTATAAGCCAACAATGAGCTGTGGTTTCACAGTCCATTACTGCACTGTATAAATGGAAATAACTAACAATGAAATATCCACTAGTGTGAAATTGATTATATTAATTTGGATGCAGTTTTTTTTTTTTTAATTTTCCGATTTTATTGATGTGTTCTGCTGCAGTGATGGCTGGGCGGACAGGTATGATGTGACGGACGGCTACGTCAGGGAAGCAGCTGGGGGTATTACCATCAAGCTCCAGTCAGCTGATGTGAAATGGTTTGATGAATACTACCTTAAGCTTCGCCCTGAGAACAACCATAGGAACCCTTGGTTTCCAGAGTTCTGGCAGCATCGCTTTCACTGCCGACTGAAAGGTCACCCGCAAGAAAGCAACAAGTACAACAACACTTGTGGCAGTAAGTATTAGCTACATTAGGTGGTTTATGATGCAGCATTTTTGTAGACTTGTGGGTCTTGCAGGGGCCAAGATGGGGTAGAGGTAGGGCAGCTGACTTGGGACCAGAAAGTCGCGGTTCGACTCCCAACCATTCCCAAATGCCGTGATGTCTCTGAGCATGACCCAATCGCTCCATGGGTTCTTACATGGCTGCCCACTGCTCCACCTGGGTGCATCTCACGTGTGATGGGTTAAATGCAGAGAACTAATGTCATCATTGTATGGGAATATACAGTGATGACAATCTCAAACTTCCCTTCCTTTCCCTTATATTGGTATAACTGAAAACAGGAACTCTACTGTACATCACTGAGATGTATGTAGAAAAACTGAGTCATCATTGGTTCAACATTATAGGCAACAATACCAGTATGCATTTTCATTGAATGGCTTTCATAATAACAACTAATAATACTAATATTTTACAAAAAGACACCTATGAACAGACCATATGGGTGCACACAGCTTTCCGGTTCCACTCGAGATTGAACCCTTGCTTGATTTTCATATTTTCATTGAGTCCTCTTTCCTTTTTCTCTCTGTTTCATTCACTCCATTCATAGGCTAAACAGTGTGCGAGTGTGGCATCAAAGAGAGTCATTTCTTATTTATTCTATTGAAACAGACATGAAATACAAAGGAACAGGACACAGACAGAGACAGAAAAAATGAGATGCAGAAGTAGGGACTAACTGATGAGGAAGAGGAGAAGAAAGTAGCCTTTGATGTTAGGAATCAAGAACATTGTCTTTTTTTCCTGATATATTAATTATTTTCTATCCAGCCTATTTTTCACTTCTCTCCAACTCTACCCTTTTCACCTCTGCAGAACGGGAGTCCCTTCGGCAGCACTATGCACAGGACACCAAGATGGGATTTGTCATTAATGCCATCTACTCAATGGCATATGGTCTACATAACATGCAACGTTCCCTCTGCCCAGGATACCAGGCATGTCCAGAGATCACACAGAGCAAAACGAAAGAGATAACTGAAGGGAAAATACAATATTTCAAAATCAGCTGAGTGACAACAGTGTTGGTGGTTAGTGCAGCATGGTCCAGCATGCAGTTTTTCTCACATGAATGCCAATTTGGCCCTGTCACCACCTATATGTTCTTGGATCAGATTTGTATAGCAGACACATATTCAGTCTCTGTGTAAGTCTCCATTGTGCTACATGGGCTAATTAACCTGACCTTGAACAAGCAAGGTGAAATGGTGTTTGGACAGTCCAGATCTGTAACATCAGGGTTTGATTCCATATGACCTATTTTTGACTTTTGTAACATAACGCGCATTAGTGTTTAAAGGTCTTCAAGCCAAAAAGCAAGTATTTCTCAGCTCGTGAATCATGCGTTTGACAAATGGGGAACAACTTATCAGAGAAAGCTGAATAACCACTGACTCCATTTGTTTTATAGTTAATTTTCAGCGTGGGTTTCATACACAGTGCTTTATCTTTCCTGTTAACCTTCATACATAGGATTAAAATTGCTGCCATTAATCTGAAAACCTTATCACTGAAGTGAATCATTTCTTAACCAGTCATTACAAATAGGATTGTTTTAGTCCATCACAAAAGTTAGGTCAATTTTCTTCCTCCTAAGTGGCTTAAAAATACAAATTGTTCATCACTAGATTGACTGTAATTTTCATGATTAGAATTCTGTGTTTAGTTCTCTGTTCTTCATTTAGCAAATTTTCCTTGTGAAAAATTCCCTTTGCTTTCTGTCAGTGAATAAATTACTATGTGTAATTAGTTATACACTTCTTTATTCTGCTCTAGAGACAACTACTATAATTTTATTTCTGCAAAGAGGTTTAGAGTGCCTGGGCCCACTCCTCTGATTATTTCAGATGCACATTTTCCACTGTGATAATAACAGTTTATAGGTCATTTTCCACAAAAAATATGAGTGCTGGACAGATTTTTCTTGGGTAAACAATGACACTGCAAGAATTTACATAAACAACCTTTTTTGATGAGTCAAATAAATCAGATAAAAGTCTCACTCGTGAAAGTAAAAACAACAAAACAAAACAAGAAAATCTATCTGTTGTTCTTACAAACAATGAATGAACTGATTGATCCACTAGGAGAAGGTGCTTTTTAAAAGACTGAGTTTATTGCAGCTCCTCAGACTGAAGAAGCAGAGTTGCATCCGGGCCTAAAAATTCTGACTCGACCCGAACCCGTATCATTTTTTTCTGAGCCTGACCCGAAACCGACCAATTAACTGTGATTACAGGCCTGAACCTGAAAAAAAAAATAAAAAAAAAATCCTGACATTTTCTTTTAAATTAAGCTTTTACTGCTTTTGTAAGTAAATCACTTTGACATGGTTTAAAAATGTATTTCAAAGAAAGGAAGATATAAGATTTCTTGTTTATTAATAAGAGTCAGCGGATTATTAGCCATTATAATATTATAGTTATTAATGGTAGGCAGATGCGTGCGGCTGATCATCCAATTTGGGTTGTCGGCCACGCGTGTCTGCTGACGCAGCGGCTGAGTCCAGTCAAGATTCAGGTGGGTTGCTGGCAGTGATCCATCTGGACTTTTTCTTACCTCTTTCAACCAGCCGGTCAGCGCGCGTGGCTGGTGATCCAATCAAAAGCCCGACCCGGCCCGCTCATCCAGCACAATATTTTTGCCCGGCCTAAATTTTAGGGTCGGTCCGGGTGCAGGTCTGTGTTAGAAATGACAGTTCTATGAAGAAGTCTTCTGGATAAAAGACAAAACTTTTTAACATTTTTTTGTTTTGTTTTTTGAATCCGTCCAGAGGACCTGACTGGAATTAGTTAGGTTTCAGTTTTATTGCTGACTTAGAAAATGAATCTTTAGTATTTCTATTTTGTTTTTGGAAATTTCCCTTGTTTCTCGGTTTTTATAAAAGTAGTGATTTTAGTGCAAGTTCAGACTCTGGGTCCATCTTGAACAACATTGTGTTGTAGAGAAAAACACACAAGCAAAAGTCATACAAATGAAATAAACAAACATTGACTCAAATGGCAAAAATCGAATGCCAAAAACATTTATAAATATACAATTATAATATTTATATATGAACTTTAGAACTATGGTTTTAAAGACGTCAACTTTCTTGTTGTAACTTTGTGAAATAAATATAAAATGTATAACGGGTTCCATTTTATTATGAGTGATCATTATTGATTCCTCACAAACGAATACTAACATGCTTTGTAGATGACTGTTTATAATACTATAGTGAGACTTCACATGTCTGCTAATGTTTTTTAAGGGTCTTTGTGATGCCATGCGACCAATAGATGGTGCTACACTGCTGGACTTCCTGATGAAAACTAACTTTACTGGCGTGTCGGGGGAGGGAATCTTGTTTGATGAAAACGGGGACTCACCTGGCAGGTAGGATCTGAAACATTTAAAACACCAGACCTTTTTTTTTCTGTTTGGCCTGTTGGATTACGGAGTACCGGTAACTACCTCTTAGTGTGTGATGCCATGTACCTTTTTTTAACAGGTATGAAATAATGAACTTTAAAAAGATGGGGAAAGACTACTACGACTACGTTAGTGTTGGTAGCTGGGACAATAGTGGATTGAAAATAGATGATGATGAAATCTGGTCTAGCAAAAATGTCATCATCAAATCGGTCTGCAGTGAACCCTGTGACAAAGGACAGATTAAGGTAAGCTGATAGATATAATCTTTTGATGTATATTTATATGTAACAGTTAATAAAAAAAAGAGTTACAATGTTTTAAAGACGTTTCAGTGCCATCAACAATATTAAAAGCAACAATTTGCAGTATTAAGTGTGTTTTTTATGCTATGACATTGGTTAAAAAATTCACTCAGTGTTATTTGGTTCGTTTCAGAGACCAAATAACATTGATTTTTCATATTTTGATATTAACCATTTTAAACAAGTCTGTAATGCCCTGAATCCCAAACTGTTTGAGCCAGAAGCTTACAGTCATATATTCCTGCTGGTTTTATCTTTAGGGTGTCTTGTTTTCAATCAAAAGTTCAAAGGGATTAGATTTAGACTTAACTAAAGCTGAAGCTTTTTTTGGCTTTTTTAGTGGCTGGTGAATATGATCTGCCATGACAGCAAAGACAATGAATCTTTTTGCCAACCCAGTTCAGGAATCGAAACGCATAAAAAGTACTTATTTGATCTCTTACAGGTAATCCGTAAGGGAGAAGTGAGCTGCTGCTGGACGTGCACTCCCTGCAAAGAAAATGAGTTTGTATTTGATGAATATACCTGCCGAGCCTGTGAACTAGGCTCCTGGCCTAATGACGAGCTTACAGGTCAGTATCTCTGTTTTTGTGTTTGTATGTTTAATTATATTTTTAAACTGCAATCTCAGAGACTGCACAAAAATATTGCAAGAAAAGCTTTATAATGTGCATGAATGCATGTGTGATTGTTGGAAAGAAAGAAAAAAGTTGGGAGTTTTCTTCTCTACTGTGTTATTACAGCATATTAGCAAATTCTGCACAAGTTAAACTAAAAAGAAACAAGTGGTACACCAATGTCCCCTGTCACTGAGTGAATGTAATTTTCTGAATGCGTGTTTTTCTGGACTGGAATTGAACAGAGTGTACAAGTAAACTGTAAAGTATTTGTTGCAAGATATTCAAGTGGGAAGGAGTTACACTGTATATAAGAAGAAAGGAAGTGTTTTTTCATTGTCCAAGGCAACGCAGAGTGACTAATCCTGGCGAGTGAAGTAAGAAATTTTATCCACCACCATGTGCAATGGTGGACACAGGAGGTGGTCAATGGTGGGCATGGCCACCATAGATTAATCTTTAAACACACCAATCATTTGAAGAAATTATACCTTAAAGCAACATATAAAACTAGAAATCACAGTTTAAAATGACAGTGGTAGCCGGTTTACACGTATGTGTGTGTGTGTGTAGGTGTGTATATGTACTGGTATATATATTGGAGCCCAACTTATATGGAAATTTTGGCTATTACTGATGTTAATATTGGGAGAGGACAGCTAATGTCAATAATGAATATAATGGCTGAAAATTTTTGAGCGTTGTCCACCCCCAAGAATCAAAAAAACCAGCGAGTGGAGTGGGGTTTGTTTATTTAACACAGCTGTTAGCAAACATGAAGCTAAGCAAATCAGATCCATGCTATACCTAGTCCCACGTGAGGTTTACAAGTGGTCATAAAAACTGTCTTCCTAACGTGTTCACATTTTCTGTCCTCCACTATTCACCATAAAGTTATTAAGTGTGTTACATAAATATACATTTTAAAAAGCACCCTTCCCTGTTCATTGTTAAACAGTTGCATATGGTGAAGGCTTAATTGCAGCAGCATTCTTTTTTTTATTTGCAGAGAAGTAAATATTTCAGACAAACAATGCATTTCATTGAGGACAACAAAGATAATGTTACTAACACAATAGCCTATGCTAGGTTATTTAAACATTAGTTCGCTAACTTGAAAGGGTTGGAGGATTGAAGAGAAAATATTTTTGTTTTTTGTTTACAGATCAGTTACAATAAACTTACCGTGCTCTGTTCAGCAAAATATGCAACACTGTATTTAGTTGTTCCCTGCTTTGGCTGTGCTGAAAGCGAAAGTTGAAGTGCACGGCCACGACTTGAAAGTAGTCCGCATGCTCCCTCTGCTGGATACATTGCACAATTAAGCCTTTTGCAAGTAAAGACATGTCTGGTTCCAGCGTTTTAGGGGTGAAAAATTAAAGTGTTTATATTGGCACATAATGGGCCAGTTATCACCAAAACTGATATGTGCCCAAAGTCTATACGAGCCTAAAATATCGGCCCTACCAAAATGCCACCAAAATGGAAGTCGGTGCTCCTCATGTTTTTTAAAATGATCCCACTCACAACACAGACGGGCAAACAAATGGATGGATGAACAAAGTGTATTTCCAGTTCCTCTCTTCGCTTTGTGACATGGGACAAAACTGAGAACTGATCCCTTTGATTTACTTGGCCTCTCTTTTGCTTTTTGCTTTTTCTTTCAATTTTTAGCCTACAAGATCATGAGTAGTTTATTTTTCAGCAAGAGAAGCTTTCAATTTTCTCTATGAAACCATTAAAGTTGCAGTGGAAATTTATTTCACCTTTGTTGTATCAGAAGCACTCCAGTATTGTCTTGTTGTGCTCTCGGCTTCTCATTATTCTGCTTGCACCTCACCAAGTTCAATGATTAAAACATGAATCAAGCCCTGCTGAAAATTCAAATGAAGTTTCACTGACACAGAAAGGAGCACCCTTAAACTAAAGCTTGGTTTTAAGTGACAGCGGTGGACCATTCCTAGAGAGGAACAGCTGAATTGGAATTGATCATGTACGCCTTTGCAGGTGTGAGGTTATATGACAGAATGCGCTCACGAAGTCTTCCTGCAGGGCTGTATAGAACAATAAAAATCGAACAAACGCACTGCTTGTCCAGTTCCACCTGCAGACTTTTTTGATGTTGCTATCTCAAGTCAAAAAACAAAATGAACTACAAGGTTGACAGAATAATGGAAGAAAAAAATACAATGGCAGAGGGGAGAGACGAGGTAGAGCAAAGATCAACCGGCAGGGAATGAGGTCAAGTGCGTGTGAAACAATACAAAAGGTGAAGGGCGTCTTTACAGACGGCAGCAGAGCAAAGACAGGAAAAGTAACAGAGACATGAATCTGGAGTAGAAGTGAGTCAACCTGAGGGTTGGACACGCATGGAAGCTCGAACATGAATAGAAGCCAGGGACAGTGAAGGAGCAGAAGGGGGGAGGATTAGCTTTGGGATTTGAGCCTCTCCAATGATCAGTAAGGTTTGAGTCTGGGGATTTTTGATGGAGCTCGTCTAAAAATTTTAGATGAATAAGCCTCTCTATATGGTTGTTCTTCGCTTAAAGGAATGTTTGACATATAGTGGAACACTGCAGTATACAGTTTCCTCTTTGTTCCTCGAACCAATTAAAAATTAAATTGCTTATACTGTATAGCCAAATGTCTTTTTTACTGCTCTAGGAAAGCCCACAAGGACAAACACTGGACAAGGATTTTGTGCCAACCATTAAAGTTATAAAGACAGTACTATTTAAAATTAAATTGTCAGCAAGTGTCTAACTTTTCTCCCACCTTAAATTTATATCTGTATGTGGTCCTCCCGCCCCCCACCCACCATCATGTCTTTGTTATAATCTGAGAGCAC